TGCGCTTGCTCCCGCGAGTGGCGCCGACGTCGAAAAAACATTCTTGTGCGCCTGTGCAGGATGGTTCCACCGAGCTCTCAAATTGCAGGCATGGTTAGACCATTTAGGGCCGTCTGGGCGGCATCGTTGTATTGGAATCCGTGTATTTGGGGCCAAATCGGTTTCGGAAGGAGATTTGGGCTCCTTGGTTCCTTCCTTCGTTTGTCTTTGGGGTGCCCTTCGTGAATCTAGGATCCGCGTGCAGGTGGGCCAACATTGCGTTTGCCAGGGGTGTCCCGAAAATAGGCTGACCTAAGTGACCCACATGGCGGGTTGACTCAAATGACCCGAATGAGGGGCGCACCCGAATTATTGAAATCACACAAGGGGCTATCTGGGCCATTTGGGTCATTCGGGTCGTTCGGGCTGGCACAAACATGACCATTTGGGTCATTTGGGCCGTTGGAGCTGGCACGCGCAGCGTTTCACAGCGTCCACCCCAGCAAACTCAGACAGCCCAAGAGAGTTCCGGAGCGCCCCCCGAGTCTGCCCAAGAGATGCTCTCAGGACGAGAGATTCACAAGGAGCTCATCGCACCGCAGGCGCCGGTATGACAGTCCTCTCTGTCCGCCTCGAGATCTCCAGGAGATTTCCAGGACAGCCCCATAGAGCCCAAGAGGCACCCCCCACAACATGCCCCAACAGCCTCGAGGGCATTCCAATGCTCCCAAGGCAGCCCCCCAGGAGCTCTCAAGAGGCATCCCATTCCATGCAAGATGTCCTTCCGGCCCAGGGGGATTTTTTTGTCAGAGCAGGTGTTTTTTCCCCAACCATCCTGTGGTATTGGGTCCTCGTTTTGAAGAGACAGCGCCCCGCGTCTCCTCCTCCCTCCTCCTCCCCCTCCTCCCTCCTTGCTTTGGCTTTCCGCATGTCTCTGTTTCAGCACACCCGTGATGCGTTTCGTGGCCCCTTGGGGAGCTCCACCTAAGGTCCCAGTGGCGCAGCTCGCATGGCGCCGCCACCCCATTTTGGCACGCCCCTCACACGTTTCGTGGCCCCTTAGGGAGTTCCTCCTCAGGTCCCAGTCGACTAGACGTAAGAGTGACCTTTCGCCAGAGTGACCTTTGGTGCGGACACAGATGGGCCCCCAGATGGCTGAAAACGAAGCAGGAGCAGCATCTTGCGCGCCAAGGTTTGGTCCCCCCGCGGCCCCCAAAAAGCAGCGCACCAACGGTCACTCTTACCCTGGGCCACTCCTGCGTGTAGCCGATCCCAGTGACGCAGCTCGCATGGCGCAGCCGCTCCATTTTGGCGCACCACTCACACGCTTCGTGGCCCCATAGGGAGGGTCCCAGTGGCGCAGCTCGCATGGCGCCGCCGCTCCATTTTTGGCACACCCCTCTCACGTTTCGTCGCCTTATCGGGAGCTCGAACTAAGGTCCCAGTGGTGCAGCTCGCATGGCGCCGCCGCCCCATTGGAACAGGAGGTGGAGGCGGAGGAGCGGAGGAGCGGAGGCGCGGTGGGACGGAGGCGGGAGGGAGGGAGGGCAGGGGAGGGAAGGGAGAGCCACGGAGAGGGAGAGGAGGCACACCGGGACGAGCATGGGATGGGGGTGGGAGGGGAGGGCGGATGATAAATGGGGATGGGGGGGGGAGGAGCAGATGAGGGCAGGGGGAGCACGGAGGAGGGAGAAGACGGGAGGGTGGGAGGAGCAGGAGAGGGGGGAAGGACGGAAGGGGGGGGGGGCGGAGCGCTCCTTTTTCCCGTCTCTTTCTTCCCCCTCCTGCCCGCGCCCTTCCCTTCTTTCTTCAGCCCGGAGGGGGGAGATACGGGAGGGAGACTGTCACAGCAGGGCCCACTTCGATCCGATCGATCCGATGCGACACCAGCTCCGGCCGGCCCGATTCGATTCGGTTCCGATGTTCGGGCGACCCGATGTGGCCCGGCGCTTGCCATGGCGCTGGGGTGAATGCTGGCGCTGCCAGTTCGATTTGATGCCGACGCCGTGCCGATGCGGCCGGGCTCGATGCACCATCCGATTCGGTCTGGCTTCCCGATTCGGTGCTGCCTGATCCTGCACGGAGTGGAGCAGCCCCCGCAGGATCACACCAAGGACCGCGACGTCGCGCTCGCGGCGCTGGGGCAGGACGGCCTGGCGCTGGAGCCCCCAGGGCGGCTGGCAGAAGAGCCCCCCACGTGGCCCGAGGGTCGGGCAGTGCCAATCGGGGGCAACGCCAGGGGCGCTCGAGACCGGGAGGTCTTCGGGCGGCTCTGGTGGTTCCGGGCGCGCTTCCGGCCCCGGGGGTGTGCCGTCCAGCAGCTGTGCCTCGCCGAGAGCGTTCTGGGAAGGTGCCCGGATCGTCGTAGCGTCGGGGCGGGGCACCACGCTCTCCTGCAGATCGAGGATCGATGAGGCAGGGCTGGGGAAGTTTGAAACGCTTTTGGGCGCTGGGGCAGGAAGCAGCCTGGCGCCTGGGCTCTCGGGTGCTGGCAGGAGCGCCCCCCGTTGCCCGAGAGAGTGCCACCAGCGCTGTACTCCTCGGGCAGCGCCCATCGGGGACAACGTCCGGCGGGGCCCTTTCGGAGTTCGGACAACCTGGCCGGACTCGGGGCCCGAGGCTCTCAGCAACATTGTCCTTGGCTCCTGGCGCTTTCCCATGCAGCCTCGGGCTGCGCTCCAGCAGCGGCGCCTCGCTGAGAGCGCTCACGACCCGATCGTCCCGGACGGCCGCCCCGAGAGCCCCCTCCGCCCAGGAACCTGCGGAGTCGCTGTCCGGGGCCCCTCGCCGATGCACCGGCGCGCTGTCGCCGGGATGCCGGGTCGATACGTGCCGCCCCGCCCCCCTCCCCTGAGGCGTTCCCCCCCCCCCCCTTCCCTCCCTTGCCGTCGGCCCTCAGCCAATGGTCGGCGCTGTATCGCCGGGCTTCTGGGTCGATGTGTCCCGCCCCCCCCCCCCCCCGAGGCGGTACCCCCCTCCCCCGTCCCCTTTCGTCGGCCCTCGGCCAATGGTCGGTGCGCGTGCGGTCGGAGTGGGCGCGGAGAGAGCGGGCAAAGGGAACGGCAGCAGCGCCCGCCCCCTCGGGGCAGGGCTCGCGGTCGGCGTGGCCGCGGGGGGCGCTCCGGGGGGGGGCCGTCTCCGACACGGGCGGCGGCCTGTGCTCAGAGGCGCCGCCTCGAGGAGGCGGGCGCGGACATACAAGTCGCGCTGCGGTCATCGCGGTCTGGGGCAGTGCGGCTGCCCTTCTCCAGGTGGACGCTGCGAGGGCGCGAGGGAGCGAAGGCGGTCGCGCGTCGCGCATCGCGGGGCGAGCGGCGCGAAGGTGGGCCCCCCCCTGGCAGTGCCTGGGCCCCTCTGGGCTGGCAGTCTGTTTGGGGGCCACCTCGGGCCGGGGGCCGCCAGGCCCTCCCGCCGCAGGCATCCGCAGGGGTGCCCAGACGTCCGGCGAAGGCCTCCAGAGGCCCCCCCATGGGCCAGAAGGTCAACAGCAGTAGGTTGCACAAGGCCCTGAGCAGCCTGACGCAGCTCAGGGCGGCGGCCAACGAGAGGGGGGTCCCACTCTGGGCCACCGATTTCGGGAGCCCGGCATGCCTCACGGGGCCTTGAACTAAGCAACAGGCATGCTGGTGGGAACGTACGAGCAACCACATGCAAAGCAGGAAAGGGACACATCATGGGCTCACAGCTGGCACCCATACCTATACGACCCCTGGATGCCTCGGGATGGAACTCCGCGGTGGCTATGGGTGTGTGTGTGTGTGTGTGTTATCGGATGGGTGCCCCCGCTCGAAGGGAAGCCCTCCTCGCGATCCGACAGCCCGCACCCATACCTAGAGGGCCATCATCTCTTTGCCCTTCCCAGGTCCTCCTCCCTGAATGGTTGGGCCTGTGCTGGTCTTTCACCACAGCGACCGCTCTGCCCCCCGAGGAGTGGCTCTCGGCCGACCTGCGTGCGGACGGGCAGCTGCTGGTGAAGGCCCCGCCGCCGCCTCCGCCGCCTGGGCCCGCCTCTCGCCCCCCCCCCCCGCAGCCCGTTGCTCGGGGCCCCCGAGCTCGGCGGCGAGCCTGGGGGGGAAGTCCGAGGGGACAGGCCCTCTCAGAAGGCGGTGGGGCTCCGGCGAGCCCCTCGCGCCTGCTGAGAAGCCGCGCCTGCCTCCGGAGAAGGCTCGGTTAGCACTGCTCGACAGGCTGATGGGCCCCCCCGAGCCCTCATGCGGAGGCCTGCGCCCTCTGCCTCTCCCCTCCATGGGCTCGCCGCCGACACGGTGTGGTGACCACACCGAGTGGTGACCGCACGGGGTCACCGCACGGTTTTGGGGCTCCGGCCGTTCTCCGAGGGTTCTCCGAGGACGTCTCGGGCGACCGGGGCTTCCAGGGTCCAAAACCGTGCGGTGACAGACCGCGCGGTGAGGTCTCCTGCGATTTCGGGGTCACCGCGCGGTCTGTCACCCCCCCGAGTTGCGCCGCCGCCCCCATACTTAACTCAGGAGGTCTTCTCAGGAGCTCGTTAGTTTTAGGACCCTTCCTTTTTTCTCGGCGGGGAGCGAGCTCCGCCCCTCCTCCTCCTTATGCTCCTCCTCCTCCTCCTCCTCCTCCTCCTCCTCCCTCCTCCTCCTCCTCCTCCTCCTCCTCCTCCTCCTCCTCCTCCTCCTCCTCCTCCTCATCATCATCATCATCATCATCATCATCATCATCATCATCATTCATGCTCCTGCTGCTCCCCCTCCTCCTCCTCCTCCTCCTCCTCCTCCTCCTCCTCCTCCTCCCTCCTCCTCCTCCTCCTTCTCCTCCTGCTTCTCCTCCTCCTCCTCATCCTCCTCCTCCTCCCTCCTCCTCCTCCTCCTCCCTCGTCCCTCCTTCCTCCTCCCTCCTCTCCTGCTCCTCCTCCTCCTTCTCCTCCTCCTCCTCCTTCTCCCTCTCCTCCTCCTTCATCCCTTCTCCTTATAACTATCTTCTCCCTGTCGCACCCCAAGGCCTGTTTTTAGGGCGGGCCGGGCGTTTCGCCTGAGACTTCTTTACCATTTATGACCCTGAAGCTTAAACGTTGGCAACAGCTTCACAGATGGAGGGTGTGTGGTTTTCAAGATCACTTCAAGAGTTTCACGGATTGAGGGCGGGTGGTTTTCAAAATGTGGCTCTCGCCTTAGCACCGCGCACATTCGTTTTAAACATTTGCCAGAGTTTCACATATTGAGGGCGGGTGGTTTCAAAATGTGGCTCTCGCCTTAGCGCCGCGTGCATTCGTTTTCGACATTTGCTAACGGTTCACGGCTTGAGGGCGGGTGTTATTCGACATGTGGCTTTTGCCTTAGCGCCGCAGCGCCGCGCACATTTTTGATATAGAATTACAAGAGTTTCACACACATTCCCATAATCGGCGTACCAGAAATGGCGCTTTGGAAGGGTTCACGACTTTGCGGGCGCGACAGTTACGATGATTCGTGGAGTTGAGGTCCCAGAAATGGCGTTCTGGTGCGATTCAGGATCGTCAAGACGCGACAGTCAGGTACATCCGTGGCGTTGGGATACCGAGAATAACGTTTTGGCATGATTCAGGGTCTTCAATCGGTTGCCTTCCAACGAGGCACGTCCCTCTGTGGAAATGAACCGTTGTATGGGGCCTGTGAAGAGGGAGCTTTGGGGGAGGGCTGATTCCAACATCGTTGGTGACTCTTGGATTTACAGTGGTCCTCCTCCTTCTCCTGCTCCGCCTCCTCCTCCTCGTCCTCCTGCTCCTCATCGGGGTCGTTTTTGTCGTCGTCGTCGTCGCGGCGGATATTAGTTTCTCTTTATTGTCGGGCGGTCCTACCGTACTCGCGAGAGGATTCGTGAGCATCTCTTCATGAGGATGCCAATCGGACTCAGTGGCAGTGATTGTACTCAGGACTGGTCTTGGCTATCATCGTGAATGTAATCGTGATTTTTAATCGTAACTGTAGTCGTAATCGTAGTCGTCGTCGTCGTCGTCGTCGTCGTCGTCGTCGTCGTCGTCGTCGTCGTCGTCGTCGTCGTCGTCATTGTCGTCGTCATTGTCGTCGTCGTCGTCGTCGCGTCGTCGTGGTCGTCATCGTCGTCGCAGCGGAGATCATTTTCCCGCTAAGGTGCGCCGGGCTGGATCATGTTGGGGGGGTGCTCGCAATCTACTACTCGTAGTCGGCGTCGTAGCCGTAGCCGCAGTCGTATCGCCGTCGTAGTCGTAATCGTAGTCGTCGTTGTCGTCGTCGTCGTCGTCCTTGTTGTGCGGCGGGTGCGTCGGGTAAATAATCTTTTCCCATTATTGGTGGGACCCCAGTCCGTCAAAAAGCTTGCCGAACAGATAATTCGTTTCAGCTTGTGGGGTTCTAAAGTGAAATAGGGCCCTTGGGACGTGTTTTTTCCTTGCGGCTTCCAGGGCCCGTCATCGCCATCAATAACGGATCTGGGACGAAGAAATGCCCCCAGGAAATGGGTCGGAGTTCCTGAGCGCGCGCATTGAAGTTTGAGCCCATCGTCCACCTATTGAGTTGTCAGGAGCCCTGGTCAGAACTCCCTGTCGCGTGGCTTGCGTGAGTTGTTTCAACAAGGGCATGCGTTCGGGAGCGTTCGCCTAGCGTGTCGCGCCGCCGATGCTTGTCCACCGCGCCTCGGCGCGACACGCTGGCAACGTCCTGGTTTCCGAGCTGCACCGTGAAGAGCCTTTCCCAGCCTCCCGCCTGGCGGAGCGGAGCAACACGCTGTCAGCTCGGAGGGCACGGCGTGTGTCGCCAGGGGGGACGCGCCGATTCCGACCAGAGTCGTTTGCGGGCCCAGAGTTGCCCCAAACCCTCGTGCTCCCCGCTCTCGTTTCGCTGCACCGCGCCGACGTCGAGAACGCCCCCCCCGCGCCCACTTGCACGGAGCGGGCACAGCGCACACGGAAGTCGTAACAAGAACTCGGCCCCTGGGACAGTCCTTACCCCCTGATGGCCCCAGGGACCCACAGAAGCTCCGGGACACCTCGGGACACTCAACAGCGACGAAGAATTGTGCTCCACGCCCTTGCAACTACTGGCCACAGGTCTCTGTCGCATGCGTCTGCCGTCGAGGCGTCGTTGTCGCAGCCGCCGCCGCCGGCCGCCGCTGGAGGCCGCGCTGCAGGACCGGAGGGCGCTGCTGCTCGCGACGGAGGAGCTCCGAGGGGCAGCGGCGGCGGGTGTGGGGCACGGAGGGGGCATCCGGGGGGGGGAGGAGGTGGAGGCGCAGGAGGAGGGAGGAGGCAGAGACGCTGTGATTAGCGGGAAACGCAGGAAACGCAGGGAGGAGGCAGCATCCAGGGAGGAGGTACGCAGGAGCTCGGGGGCGAGGCGGAGGTGCGGAGGGGGCCAACAGTGTACCTCCTGCCTCCTCCTTCCCCTCCCCCCAGCGGGGAAGCACCGGCCTCTGCTCTCGGGGAAGCGCAGCCATGGATCAGGGCGCGCGGATTCGCGGCGGGCCCCGCTTCCGTGGCGGAATCGGCGCGCTCCGCCGCCGCACACGGGCGGCACTGGCACCATGTCTTTGGGGGGGCGTGCTTCCCAGAGCCCTGGGTCGGGCGCCCACGCGCCAGATGTCCCCGGAGGCGCGGTCCACGTCAGCACGCGCGCCGGGTGCTCGCCCCGACCATCGCCGACCGGGGGCCTTGGGTGCCCCAGCCTCTGCCCAGGGGCACGGGGCCGCCCCGTCGTGGCCCGCGCGCCCCTCAGTGCCGAGGTCTCGAGGACACTGGGCCTCGCCCCCACCCCGAGAGCCCGTCCCCGCCCCCGACCTCGGCGGCGCGCCCCAGGGGGGGGGCAGGGCGGAGGGGGGCGGCCTTTTCAGGAAGCCCCCGGGCTTCGGCGAGGCTTCCTGGGCCTTCACCGCCTTCGGAAAAGAAGGCCTGCCCCCCTCACGTCCCGTCTCGATGCGACGCCGATTCAAGTCCGTTCAAAATCGAGGCCCAGATCCCTCCCAGGGTCCATCCCCACCAGTGTCCCAGGCAGTTCCAGCCGTGGCGACGAGAGGCTTCCAGTAGGCCTTCAAGGAGGACGACAACCGCCCAGGACGGCTGTCGTGGTTCCCCTCCCCCTGAGTCTGTCCCCCTTCTGTCCAGACACCCAGCGTCATGATTTCTTTCCAACGTGGACCCCCAGAGGTCTCGACCCATCGCCCGGGACCGGGTTTTCACCCCAGGTATTTTTTTTGACGGTCCGATGGCCCGATGAGAGCCCCCAGCGGCCGAAAATGAAAAAGACCCCAAGAAGGACGGCAATCACCATGGACGGCCGCCGTTGTTCTCCCCCCTCCGCCCAAAGGAGGAGGAGGAGGAGGAGGAGGAGGAGGAGGAAGAGGAGGAGGAGGAGGAGGAGGAGGAGAAGGAGGATGAGAAGAAGGGGGAGCAGGAGCAGGAGCAGGAGCAGGAGCAGAAGAGGAGCAGGAGGAGGAGGACTACTGTACACCCGAGAGGCATTAACGATGTTGCAAGAAACCCTCCCTCCAAGTTCCCTCTGCATCAGGTCTTACAAACAAATTGCTTCATTTCGGGACACGCTTCATTCGAATAGACACGTCTGAGACTCCGAAGTTTTGCCAGAACGCTATTCCGGGGACTTCGGCGTCGCGAGTCCACATGACTGTTGCGTCCCGATGCTCCCGAATCGCGCCAGAACGCCACTCCTGACAGTTCAATGCCGCGAATCATGTCATCAGCTGCTTTCTGACAGCCCTGAGTCTTGCCAGAACACCATCTCCTGGGACTTCGACCACGCGAATCCTTGACACTGTTGGAGACATTCGACACTGTTGGAGACATTCGACGAAAGAGGCCAGCCCTCCACCCGCAAGAGTGCCGCGCAAACGTGCAGGACGAGTGCATGTGGCGCGAAGGCGCGAGCCACGCTGTCAAAACGGCCCGCCCTCCTCCCGTGAGACTGCTGCAAACTTCTGCGACGATGGTGCGCGGCACGAGGGCAAGAGCAGCCTCGTGAACACAGACCGCCTTCCACCCGTGAAGCTGCTGCAAACCTGTACGACGATGGTGTGCGGCGCGAGGGCAAGAGCAACCTCGTGAACACAGACCGCCTTCCGCCCGCGAAACTGCTGCAAACTTGAGGCTTCGCGAAACGCCGGGCCCGCCCCACCGACACGTCTGGGTGTGACAGGGAGGAGTACTTTGTGAGGAGAACGGGTGGAGGAGGAAAACGGGAGGAGGAGGACGAGCAGAAGGAGGAGGAGGAGGAGGAGGAGGGGGAGGAGGGAGAGACGAAGAAGGGACGAGGGACCCCCCAGTCAGCGAACCGCCGACTGTGCCTTGCCGGCCCACCCCACTCTCTCGGAGGAGCAGCGGGCGGACCCGGACCTGCTGCGGCCCGTGCTGGCGGCGGACGGGCTGGCGCTGGGACTGGCCGCGGAGGCGCTGCGCGCGGACCCCGAGCTGGTGCTCGACGGAGGAAGCGCGACGACCACGACCAAGACTTGGGTAGCAAGCCGTGAGAGCCCCGCATGCCCTCGCCACTCCGTGTTTTTCGAGTGCACTGGCGCTTCGGTAGTCGATGAGATAACACCGGTTCCACCAGCGCCGATTAGCGTTGATTGGCGTTGCCTGAGCCTCGACTAGCGTCGATTCGCGTCGATTTTCAGGAGCCAACAAGATGGTACGCGAGGCTCCCATGAGTTGCCACCGGGGAAGACGTCGCGGGATATTGCTGCCGCCGATGTTGGCCGCATTGTGTACGACCTCCCATCCCCCTCCCCCGCTCGCCATGAAAGAGAGGGGCCTTGGAGGGAAGTGGTCCTGGGTTCGGGGGGAAGAGCACGGCGGCCACGACCAAGACTTCGCGGGGTCTTCTCGCCGCCGATCACGACGAGGATGGCTCCGAGCTGAAGTTCCGTATTCCTACAGCTTTCGAACTCGTCCGAAGCTCGGGGTGGTTGTCATCAGCTGCGCCTCTTCGAGGGCGTTCCCAGGGGTGCCGGCATCGTCCCGGACGGCCGCCGGACGCCCGAGTTGTGGCCCGGAAATCAGGGTGCGCAGGACGAGGACGAGGAAGAGGAGGAGGAGGAGGCGACGACGACCTGGGCACCGCCAAGAGGGGGCGCGGATTTGCAGAGCCGCCATGTCGTGTTCTCGAAATGTGTGCTCTTGCGGCGGGGCGGCGTCCTGCTTTTCAGGCGGCCTGCCAGTTCGCTCGCCGGCCCGCGGCCGAAGGCGCTTCGGCGACGGCGGCGTTTTGTACGACCCCCCCCTCCCCGCTCGCCGTTAGACGGTTAAAGAGAGGGGTCTTGGAGGGCATGGGTCCTGGGTTCGAGGGAAGGAGCACGACGACCACGACCAAGATGTCCCCCTGTCCTTCTGGGCCTCCCAGATGGGGTCGGAGTAGATGGGGTCGGAGGATCGCGCCGCATCGGCGATGCATTGCACGATGCATCGTCGATGCGGCTCGATGTAGGGCCTGATTTTCCCCACGCAGACGTCGCCGACGCATCGCAGGCGTCGCCGATGCATCGCCGATGCATCTTCGATGCATTGGCGATGCGGCGCGATCCTTCGACCCCATCTACCTGGACCCATCTGGGAGGCCTCTCATCCTGTCGCCGCCAATCTTGGCCATTCCCCTCTACTTCTGAGTTGGAGCAGTGGTTCTGGTGCTGGCCGTTGCGGGCTTGCAAGGATGATCCACGAGTGGTCGATGCCCTTAAGAGTCCCCAATCAGTGCTTGCACTGAAGGGATCCTAGCGGGAGTTGAAAGATTTGGCGAAAGTTTCCCGCCGATTTTGGTAGCAAGCTGGGTTCCCAGGTTCCGCGTTCCGGGTTCTCGGGTTCTGGGTTCTGGGTTCCCGGGGTCCCGGGTTCTTGGTAGATCTCCCCAGCGAAAACCATCCGCTGATTTGGGCTTTTCTCTGGTGTAACGGTCAGCCGCGCGCAAAAGGGCGTAGGGGGAGAGGGGAAGGCTTCTTAGAAGCACCCTTGCTTCTTAGAAGGCGCGGGCCTCGTCTGTAGATGTGAGGCCGGCGCCCTCCGAGAAGCAGCCTCCTTATAAACATCCTTTCCCCCCTCCCCCTCACCCCCTCTGCGCGCCGCCAAGATGGGCCGCGGTGATCAAGATCGGCACCGACGCTTCCGCGTTCGGGCCCAGTCCTGGTTTCCGTGCTCTTTCCCCTCCAGGTGCGCGTGGCCGTCGGGGAGAACGGGCTGGCGCTCGAGTTTGCGAGCGAGGACGGCGGGGAGGTCCGCACACGTTGGCCGGCGCGCCGCCGCCAGGCGCGCTGGCTCGTGGGAGAGGGGGCCCCCTCCCCGGGGCCCGGCTTCCGGCAGCCGTGCCTCGTGGAGGGCTCTCCCGGGGGGGTGCCTGGGGCGTGCCGGACGGCCACCAGAGGCCCGAGCCACGACCCAGAAGCCACCCAGCCATGGGGGGGGGGGGGCGGGCGGCGCTCGGAGTTGCAAGCGAGGACACGCGCCTCGCAGATCCTGGAACCTCCTCGCCGAGCCTCGGCGAGCCTCTTCGGTCCTCGGTCCTCGTCCCTCCTCGATCCTGGAGGAGGACGGGGAGGAGGAGGAGGAGGAGGACTCCCTCCCCCTCCAACTCATGGTGGTGGTGGTGGAAAACAGGCCCATCACTCGATCCTCGTCCTTCCTCGATGCTGGCCTATAGACATGCCTGCGCCACGTAAGAAGTACGGCGGGAGAATGCTTGCCGTGCTCGGCGCCTGCAGGGGCCATTGCCAGGCCCTGGGGTTAAGTCGGGCCTGTCCCTCTACAGGGGGGATGTTCAAAAAAGTCAGCAAAAATAGTCTGGGGACGATGTTTCGACTATTTTTGGGCATGTTTTGAATCTTTTTTTGGTGTTTCTTACTCTTCGCCCAAAATCCGCCTGTAGGGGGACAGGCCCGACCTAGCCTGGGGTCGTCCAAGACGAATCAAAAATCAGCTTCTCGGAAACGGGTGGAGACCCACGGAGGCCCACGTTGAGGAAAGAGCGCGACGTCGGGCGTCTGGGCAGGGGGGGGGAGGACAGACTCGGCGGGAGGAGACCAACGGCGGCCGTCCCTGGCGGTGCTCGTCCTCCCTATGGGCCTCCTGGGAGCTCCTCGTCGCCACTGCTGGGGCCGCCCGGAAAGCCGGGTGAGGGCCTAGGGCCTAGCGCCTAGGGCCCAGAGCCTATGGGGGGCCTAGGGCCTATGGCCTGGGCCCTAGGGCTTAGCGGCCTAGGGCCTAGGGCCTAGGGCCTAGTGCTTCGCGGCCCAGGGCCTTGGGGCTTAGGCCCTACCGACTTCCAGCGGGTTTGCATCGGCGGCGCATCGGCGGCGCGCCGAGGAGTGCAGCGAGAGGGGGCAGGCCTCTTCAGAGGGCGGTGAAGGTGAAGACTCAGGGAGACCTCCTCCGAAGGCCGTCCCTTCTCGATCCTGGAGAGCCTCCTCGCCCCGCGCGCCGCCGGCCACCCCCTGGTGCGCTCGAGCCTGCGAGCGGGGGCGGAGGAGGCGTCTCGGTGGCGAAATCCGAGCCCTGCCGTCGTCGCTTGTCGACTGAGGTCGCTCGACGGTCGGCGGGGGCAGGGTTTCGGAATTCGCCGAGCACGTGGCGAAATCCGAACCCTACTCCCGCCTGCCATCGATTCAGGAGAATCGAGGGTTGGTGGGGGTCAGGGCTCGGATGTCGCCACCTGCCGTCGGCGCTGCTTTGTGTTGGCGCGCGCAAGGGAGTGGCGCGAGTCTTTTTCGGCGGGGCTCGTTCATGAGGGCGGGGGGTCTCTGAGGAGGCAGGGGAGCTGCGCAGAAGGGCCCTCCCAGCCTCTGACCCTCAGGTCTTGGAGTCGCACGGATGACTTTATCTGGTTTCGGGCCGGGAACCTTGAGACGGGGGTCAATCCAAACGGGGGTCAGCCAGAGCGCTGGATCTTGCAGGATCCTGCGAAGCCAGGGTTGCATTGACTCAGATTAGGCCGCAGGATCCTGCAGGATCCTGCGCGATCTTGCAGGATCCTGCAAAGCCTGACTGACCCGGGTTTGCACTGACCCGGGTCAGTGCGTCCCCGATCGGGCCCCAGGACCCTCACGGATGGGTCCAGCTTGGGAAATGCAGCAGGAAGCTGTGGTCCAGGGCTCAAGCCGTGGGTTTTTCGCGATGCTGCAATTTGCTCGCAACGTCGGGCCTAAGGAGAAGCCAGGAGGGCCCTTCTGAGAAGCCCCACCTCTCAGACGCCCCTCGCCTTCTTGCGGCCGCAAGCCAGATCCGCGCCATCCCCGTGCCTGCGCCGCCAGGCGCTGCCGCGCCCTGTTCGGGGCCTCGTGGGAGGCCCTCGTGACCGCGGCTGGGCGCAGCTTGGAGAAGCTGGCTGGCGTGGGCCCCAGACCACAGCTCTCCACCGATGTGTGTTGTTCAACTCGGACGCTTCCCGATGGTTCGGCCTCCGCGGCCGCCATTGGGCCCCGGGACCGTCAACACCGGATCCCCGACGGAGAGCTATCCCCGGAGAAGGGGTCGGGACGTCGGGGGCCGCGGGTTGAAAAGGTCACCTCGGCGGATCGGCGGATGTCAGGGGAGGGCGAGGGTCGCGTTCAAAAGCGGGGTGCCGACAGGGCGGGCCAAGCACAGGGAGGTCCCGGGAGGCAGTTCTAGCTGACCCGAGCCGGGGGTTGCCCAAGGTACCCCTCGCCCAAGGTGCCCACAGCTTGTCGCTCCATTCTGGAGTCCCCTGTGCGCCCTAAGCCTCGTGAGGGGTGCTCAGTGCTCTGGAGGCCGTCGGAGCCTCCTTGGGAATCCTGTGCCCGTGGGCACCTTGGGCCAGGCGCACTTCTAGCAACACCCGACTGGGCAGGCGCCGATGGGTAGTTCGAGATGCTTTCAGGCCGTGCCGCCTCAGGCGGCGCTTCCAAGGCTCCCCACGCCCTGGGGCTGGGGTGTCGGGGCCGCCTTGGACCACCCCCGGATGCCCGTTGAGAGCCCCAGCCCTGGGCTGACCCGCTGGGGCTGCCTGGGCTGCAAGCCCCAGGCCTTGCCACCAGTGGGGTGAACGTAAGACTCGAGTTCACCTGATCTGGGTTTGCCAACGTTTCTTGACGGGCCCGTGCGGGATAATGTTGACGGTTCAGTTTTCGTGGGATGTTCGGAGCGGACGGCCCCGTCAGGCCAACCCGAGTCCCTCGGACCCGAGTCTTACGCCTCCCCGAACCAAGCCGAGGAGAATGGACGATGTCTTGAAATGTCCTGACATGTCTGGGGAATGGTGTGCAACTCCAAAAACTCATCGAACCTCATGGACACCTCACTCAAGTCATCCAAGGCGTCTCACTGAAAGCATACCGACAAAGGGGCGGAAGGTCCGGGCGGAAGGCCCGGAACAATGAGGAGGAGGGAGGCCGAGCCGAGCCCCCCGAACCCGAGCCTTATAGTCTCCCCGAACCGAGCCGAGGAGCTGCGGGGCGACCGGGAGATCGTGCTGCTGGCCGTGGGCCAGAGCGGGCACGCGCTGCAGTTCGCCGCCGCCGAGCTGCAGGGCGACCGGGAGGTCCTCCTCTGCGCCGCGGGGCGGAGCGCCTCCGCTCTGCACTGGGCCCCCGGCGCGCTGCGGGCGGACCGGGAGGCGCCCGGGGGCCCCCAACTGGTGCAGTGAACCACACGTGTCGGTACCGCGTGGTGAGTCGGTTGGTTTTCGGGGTTTTCGGGGTTTTCCGACGTTGTCCTGGATTCCTGGGAGGTGTTCAGCCCTCGGATTCGTTCCAGCGGCTGCGCCTCACAGAGAGCGTTCCGGGGGTGCCCGGATCGTCCCGAACGGCCGCCGGAGAACCTCGTTATGGCCCGAGAGCCAGGGGAGCGGTGACCACAACGCGTGGTGAGACTCGGGTCGCTCTCCGAGGACCTCTCGGGCGTCCGGGGCCTCCGAGGTCCCCACATTGTGCGGGGTGACGGACCGCACGGTGAGGTCGCTGGGGATTCCGAGGTCACCACGCGGTCCGTCACCACGCGGCATTGGGGCCCCAAGGTCTGCCTGCGAGCGGCGGCGGAGAAGCAGGCGCAGTGGTCGGACAGGTCCAGGGCGGGAAGCAGGTCCGTTTGTCCACGGCCTCGCGGGCCGGGCCCTTCTGGGCCGCGGCTCCGTGGACACGGGGCGCTCTTTCACGGATGCCCCGCGCGGAGCGTACCCATCGAAGCGCGAACCCATGGGATCGCGCCCCTGAATCCAGAGCGAGAGGGCGTGGATCGGGCGGACTGCAGCGGGTGGGCAATACGCATGGGGGGATCGAGGGTTGCAGGAGAGTGGCCCTGAACGGCCGCTACATTGCCACCGCGGGCCCAAATAGTGCACGAAAGGTGCATGCTTCTTCACCCCACGCGTACTGCCCCCCTTGACGGTCACCCGAGTGGACATGGACATGTCCGCCGCTCGTGAACAGGGCGACGGTCCTGCAGGCGGTGGAGAGGTCGGGTGGTCTGCTGCAGTTCGCCACCGAGGGGCTGCGCGGCGACCCCGAGGTCGTACTGCGCGCAGTAGCGCAGGACTACCGCGCGCTCCGCTTTGCGGCCCAGGAGCTCCGGGCGGATCGTGACTTCATGCTGAAGGCACGAGATGATGATGGTGACGATTATGACGATTACGATCACGATGAACATCACGATGACCATCACGATGACGATGATGATGCTGATGATGCTGACGATGACGATAACGATGATGATGCTGATGCTGCTGATGCTGATGATGATGATAGTGGTACTGATGATGACGACGATGATGATGATGATAATGATCTTGCTGATCGTGGTGGTGGTGAGGATGAGGTTGCTGATGGTGACTCTGATGTTGAGTCGGCTGTTGATGATTATGATGGCCAGGAGGAAGATGATGGTGTAGATGATGCTGATTATGATGATGGCGATTGCGATGTCGACGAAGATGGTGATGGCGTTGTTAATGGTGATGGCGATGACGATGATGGTGGTGGTATTACGCCGGCTATTCTCATGATGATGACAATTATGATGCTGAGAATGATGATAATGGCAATGATTATGATGACGATGATGATGGTGATGTAAAGGGTGATCGTGATCGCTATGATGGTGTTACGGCTGCTGGTGGTATCGATGCCTGCGATGCAATGCTGATGAGTATGGTGTTGATGATGTCGAGGATGCCTTCGATGACGATGATGGGTGACCATGACGACGATACTGATCAGGATGAGGAGGATGCTGATTACGATGACCATGACACCAATGATGATGATGATGATGATGATGATGATGATGATGACGATGATGGCAATGCTGATGATGACAAGATGATGATAAGGACGATGATGCTGATGATGATGTGAATAATGATGAGGAGACTGATGACGATGGTGTTGGTGTTGATGGTGACCACGATTCTGAAGTTGACGATGCTGATGATTGTGATGGTTATGATGGTGATGATGATGGTTATGATGATGATGTCGTTTATGCCGATGATGGCGACGATGATGGTGGTGACGTCTATGGTGATGATGATCTTTGGGATGATCGCAACAATGATCACGGGAATCATGTTGATCACGATGACGAGGATGATGATGTTGTAGATGAGGATGCGGCGTATTGTTTGGATGCTGATGTTGATGTTGTTGAGGCTGGTGGTGTCGATGATGGTGGTGACGATGTTGATGTTGATGTTGATGAGTCTGATGACGCTTGCGATGACGATCACGACGAAGCTGATGATTGTGATGCTAATGATGCTGGTGATCACGGTGATGCTGATGGTAATGATGCACAGGATCATGATTCTGCTGTTGATGCAGACATTGATGAGTTTTAGATGGTGGCGGCGATGCTGATAATCATGATGATGGGGACGATACCATCGGTGTTTGTGCTGGTCATGGTGACGATTGAGGTTGACGACGATGAGGATGCTGATGATGATGACAAGGCTGACGTTGTGTCTGATGCGAATGATGAGGCTGATGAAATGAATGGTGATGTTTAGGTTGTTGGTGGTTCTGTTGGTGAAAAGGTGCTGATGTTGTTGATGATGATGGTGCTGATGCTGTTGGTGATGATGGCGTCGATGACGATGTCGACGGCGACGATGGTGTTGATGCTGATGATGCGGATGTCGACGATGCTGATGGCGATGCTGACGATGGTGATGATGACGAGGATGATGCGGATTATGATGATGATGATGATCATGGTGGTGATGCTGACGAAGAGGATGATAATGCGATCGTTGATGCTGATGGCTGTGCTGATGATGGTGATGATGACGTCGACGACGGTTGTGGTGATGTTGGTGATGATTGTAACTGTTTGTGTTGCGGTTGGTAATGATTGAGATGGATGTTGTTGATGATAGTGACCATGCAGATGATGATGTTGATGATGAAGGTGACTATGTTGATGCTGTTGATGATAATGACAGTTACGATATCGATGCTACCTACTGTGGTGCTGACGATGGTGATTATGTTTCTGATGCTGACGACGATGATGACGACGATGCCGATGGCGACGATGGTGCTGATGATGATGCGGATGTCGACGATGCTGGTGACGATGATGACGATGCTGATGATAGAGGCGATGGCGAGGATGATGATGCTGATGCTGACGATGATAATGGTGATGATGCTGACGAAGAGGATGATAATGAGGTCGTTGATGATGATGGTCGTACTCTTGACGGTGATCGTGACGTCGACGACGGTTGTAGTGATGTTGGTGATGCTGGCAATTGTGATGTTGATTTTGCGGGTGGTAACGATTGAGATGGATGTTGTTGATGACGGTGACGATGATGATGTTAATGATGAGGGTGACTAGTTGATGCTGCTGATACGATGCCGATGCTACCGAATGTGGTGATGACGATGGTGATTATGCTTCTGATGCTGACGACGATTATGACGACGACGATGACGAGGATGATGATGTTGCCCGTTCTGGTTATGATGATGAATGTGATGGTGTTGGCGATGATACGGGAGAAGAAGACGATAATGATGATGATGGTGCTGATGATGATACTGACGTTGATATTGATGATGATGCTGTTGAAGGTATTGGTGACGCTTACTAAGATGTGATCGAAGATGATGGCGAGGATAATGGTGAAGATGTTGGTGCTGTTGGTGATGACGATGATGTTGGCGATTCCGACGGTTGCGATGTTGACGATGACGAGAATGACGATTGTGCTGATGAGGAGGAAGGTATGATGATGTGAATGTAGGGCGCACTCCCTCCTCTTCCTCCTAAATATACTGATGCTAATTCTGCAGGCGATGATGATGATGATGATGATGATGATGATGCTGATGATGGTGGTGATGACGATGACGATGATGATGATGATGATGATGATGCTTATGATGATGATGATGACGATGACGATGATGATGATGATGACGATGATGATGATGATGATGATGCTGATGATGTCGGGGAAGATGAGGTTGTTGATAATTTGGGTGGTTATGATGTAGCTAGTGACGGTGACAATGACAACTATGACGGCAATGACGGTGATGATGAAGACGATGTGGATGATGGCGATCACGATGATGACGACAACGATGATGATGATGATGATGACGACGACAACGATGATGATGATGATGATGAAGATGATGCTTGTGGTCATGATGATGCCGATGATGCTGATTATGATGCTGATTATGATGCTGATGGTGATGCCGATTCTGAAGGCTCTGGCGGTGGACTTCCGGGCGTGGCAGCACGGCGCGGAGGAGCTGCGGGGCACCCGGCACGTGGCCCTGCACGCCCTGGGCCAGGACGGCCGCACCCTGCAGTTCTGCCCCGAGGCGCTGCGCGCGGACCGCGACGCGGTGCTGCGCGCCGTCGACCAGGCGGGCAGCGCTCTGCAGTTCGCCTCCGAGGACCTCGCCTGTCGGGAGGCTCGAAGAAGAAGAAGAAACCACATAAACATAAACTTGTGGCCCTCCGCGCGCAGTTCTTGGATAAACGCCTGGGCCCCCCGGCGGCGACTCCGGCGCCGCCCCTGGCTCGCTCCGCGCGCCGGAGAGAGGGGTCCAGCGCGAATCCAAGAAATCTGCGAGGAGCGCCAACATTTTATGTTTATGTTGTGTTCTCTTCTTCTAGAGACGTACCGTCGGAAACCTTGGCTTGGCGTGTCGCGGTGCTGGTTCTGGTCCACCTTTCTTAGACGGGGCACGCTTCCCACGTCACGGTCTCAGAGGGTCAACGTCCCGAGCTTTTCCCAGCATCCATTCTCGCGGAGCGGCACGCTATCCGCTTGCAGGGAACAGCATGTCGCCCGAGCCGACGCAGCGACACGCTGAGCAAAAGTTCCTGACCGCATGTCCACATCCACGGCCTCGCGGGTTGGGCCCCTCTGGTCCGCGACCCCGTGGACACGTGGCGCTGTTTCGCGAATGCCCCGCGCGGAGCGTAGCCGTGCGACCGCGTATCCACGGCATCGCGCCCCAGAATCCAGACCGCGACCCCGAGATCCGATGTCGCCAGAAGAATGCAACATCGTGACAAATCACGACCAGACTAGACCCAATCTTTCTGCGGCCTGGTCGATCCGTGTGAGGGCCCCGTGGCCGGAAACATGGCGGTATCGCCAGGTGTGGAAAGATGCGACGCCAGGATCTCGAGGGAGGGCGTGGGTATGAAAACAGTGTAGACGCTGCAGGAAGAGCCGACTTGGGCTCAGGAGGGGCTCTACTTTTCGGACCGCTCCTCGGATCTAGGTCGGGGAACCTATTCGTGGCCGAGGCTCGCCATGGCCAGAGAAGCCTCTTCGCCCCTTACTCGGCGATGCTTCGGGTATCGGGGAAGCGTAAGACTCGAGCACGCAGGAGCTCGGATTTGCCAATGCTTTTTAACGGGCCCGTCCCGGATTTTGATGGCCCAGTTTTCGTGGGAGGTTTGTAGCAGGAACTCGCGTCAAATTTCAGATTGGGCCCCGTTCTTGTCCTGACGGCCCCGTCAGGCCCAGCCGAGCCCCCCGCACCCGAGTCTCACGCCTCCCAGATGGTAGCGCGATGCCTGTGCGTTCGCTCGGCGTCACCCCAACACACTTATACTATATGCCCGTCGCCCCACCGGGGGCGACGCCCGCACCGAGAACTCTTATCGTATATGGGTCGTGGCGGGGGCTTTCTGGCCACACCGCTCGGGAAACGATACATGTTGGGGTCGGACGCGCGCCTCCAAGGAGGTCATCTCGTATTCGTGCGTCTCTGTGCGTCCCAGTCGCCGCTCGTGAGAGGACCTCCGAGCGGACCGCGAGGTCGTGCTGCGGGCCATGGCGAGCGACAGGTCCGCCCTGCTCTTCGCGCCCGAGAGGCTGCGGAGCGACCGGGGCGTGTGGCTGTACGCCGGGGCCCCCGCGCCGTGGTGAGGCGTGGCGGGGGCGGCAGAGGCCACGGCCGCCCCTTTGGAGGGGTGCTCCCGTGGCCCTCCTCCCTCCTCCTCCTCCTCCTCCTCCTCCTCCTCCTCCTCCTCCTCCTCCTCCTCCTCCTCCTCCTCCTCCTCCTCCTCCTCCTCCTCCTCCTCCTCCTCCTCCTCCTCCCCCCCTCCCCCTCCCCCTCCCCCTCGCCCTCCTCCTCCCCCTCCCCCTCCACCTCCCCCTACCCTCCCTCCCGTCCGAGGCAGGGGCTTCTCTCCAGGGCCACCACGCGGGAGGAAGGTCGGCCCTGGCCCTCGGCAGGCGGTGGATCTGGATGTCGGGCCCCCCTGGGGCCAAGAGATGTCCGCACATGTCCACCGCCCTCAGGGGTCCCAGGGCGTCGGTGCCCCAGGCGGCGGGTGTGGACAGAGCCCTGCCTCGCATCCCTGGGCCTCTGGCGGCGCGCGTTCTGTCAGTGCGTGGCCCCATTCCGGGGACACTTCTGTTGTCCTGGATGTTTTGTTCACGGGTCGCGGGGGTTGCAATCCCGAGGTTCAGCGCTGCAAGCACATACACTTGGAACGAAACATACTGCGAAGTCAAGGTGCTGAAGTAAGTTTCGCTTTGGGCATGGGGGGGGCTTTGGTTTTCGGGCCGTTCCTTCGGTTCTGGATCCAGGAACCTATTCGTGGCCGAGTCGCCGTTGCCTGAAAAGCCCATGCCTCCCTTGCGCAGTGTGTCCACCTATGGGAGCACGATGATGGTAGCTTTTCCGAGCCGTCAGAGGTCTGGGTCTTCATCCCTCCGTCTACCCCGCCTCCCCCTCGGCGCCTGCTGTCCTCACCAGCTTCAGCTGCCCAAGGCAGGCGTTCGCCGGGTCTGCGGAGAGATGCCTCCTCCTCCTCCTCCTCCTCCTCCTTCACTAGGCACGCTCCGCCTCCTCCTCCTCCTCCGCCGCCTCCTCCTCCTCCGCCTCATCCTCCTTCTCCTGTCCCACTGTGAGCTCTCTTGTGACCTCTCTTGTGGCAGTGCGCTCCTCCGTCTCCCGTCCCTCCTCCCTCTGCGCCGGCCGCTCCCATGGTTCCCGCTGCTGCTCAGCTCCGCCGCCTCGACCTCCCGCATCCTTCCCCCCTTCGATGCCGCCTCGTGGCCGCGCTGCCTCCTCACCACCCTCGCCGTCGTCCTCCCTCGGCCTCTGCTCTGCCCCGCCTCCTGCCGAGATCCACGCCGCCCCGCTCACATCTGGCATATGGTGCCTGCTCGCCTCTCCCTGGCGATCGACCGTGCAGCCTTTCGGCGGCTGCGAGCCCCCGCGAGAAAGAGGCCCCCGCGCGAGAGGACCTCGCATCTCGGTGATCGTGTGGTGCTGCCGGGGGCAGCCGCAGGCCGCCGAAGCGCCGCCGCCCTTGCCTTGCCATGCTTCCAGGTCTCCCTGCCGCGGTGACAGCGAGAGTCAGGAGGGGAAAAGCACACAGACACAATGAATCATCGATCCCCAGGAACAGATGGAAAAATATGGGAAGTGGGGATGAAGACAAAACCCAGAACATATGGGAAAGTATGAGGAATCCGGTCATTTGTGTGCATTTACTTGTGTGTCCCAGGGCCCCTTCCGAGAGCGGGAGCGAGAGTGGCAGAGACACCAGGCGAGACACTGCTGCGCACGTGATGTGGCTGTCACCAGGCGGGGCCGCGGGGCCAGGACGAGCGCCCCGGAAAGGTTTTGGTACGCTTGCAGGGCGTTCCGGGACGGCGGCGGCGAGTGCATGGTACATCCTCTGGAGCCGCCGGACCTCAGAGGTTTTCGCTTTACAGCCAAACGCTGCAATATGCGCCAGGTTCGGGTTCGGCAGGGGCTCGAGGTTCCTCGGGGCCTTCCGGGGCTGTTCCTCTGGCCCTCCTCGTCCGCGCAGGCGCTGTGGCGGGGCCAAAACGGGACTTCGTTCCTTCTCTGGCGTTCCTTCCTTCAGCAACCCGACTGTGTCCTCGCCCGAGGGTGTCCTTGTACTTAACTGCTGGCCTCGTCTCGTGCCTCGTGAGGTGCGCTGCGAGGGAGGGGCCCCGCGGCCGAGGCGCCCCGTGGGGCGGGCTGCGGCCCCCCTCGGGGGCGGAGGCCGGCGCAGGGCGCCGGAGGCCAGGGGGCGGCAGAGGATGCAGCCCTACGAGGTGCATCGCTCGTCGTCACCGTGTCGCCGCGGACGTCTCGGGTGAAACCGATGCGCTGGCGCCCGATGCAGGCAGAGAGACCCCAGGGGACGTGGAGCTGGAGCCGCGTAGGAGCAGACACAGGAAGCCGCGTGGGCACCGCTCCAGGAGCCGCTCTCGTCGTGGAGGAAGTCCCGAGCGACAGTTGTGTTGCCGGCCACGCCCAGGGACCGATCTGTACTGGCACACTTGAGGTGGGGGGCCCAACGCCCCGCTCAGGAGTCCGCGGCTCCCTGCCCACCAGGCCCACGCGGATCGGATTTGTAGAAACGAGGGTCTGCTCGATGGCGATCATCGCCGCCGCCCGGCAAACAAAAAGCATGTATAGAACAGCCGCACAGGACACAAGAGGAACTATCCCCTGTATCTTCGGGCCCCTTGCATTCATCGTGAAGGCCGTCTTGACCCATCCCCGAGTATGCTCGGTTTGACGCCATCTTGGAGGTCACCTGGGGCTCTCTGAGGCCGTCCTGGGGCCATCTTGGACGCTCACACCGCTCCCGCCCCCACCCACCGTCCAAATCAAGGGGAGAAGGGGGGGCAGGGAGAGTGACAGCCCCCCCCCGCGAAGGGAAGGAAGTGGATTCAAAGAGGAACCGCTTTAGACCACCTCCGCCCAGAGAGTCCAGGGGGGACTGCAGTTCGAGTGCACGCGCAGCGAATCAGCGAAGCTTGCAGGCAGAGCCAACGCCAGACCAGGCCTTGGGCGCTCCTCCCCTCCACACGTCACTCTTTCCGCCCGTGCTCGGACTGCTCGCAGGGGCGCAATTCCAGCGTCGCCTCGCGCCTCGCTGTCCGGGCTGGAGAGTTGCCAACCTCCAGGGGGCGTGGGCGTCGCGGCACCGGCGGGCCGAGCAACGGGGGGGGGGGCAGCGAGGGCTGCAGAAAAGGGGCCCCTTAGGGTCCCTAGAGGGGCGCCTTCTGGTCCAAGTGGGGGCCTGCAGGGACCGAGAAGTGCATTTCCCCCCCCATCCACCCCCCCCCTCCCCCCCCTTCATCGTCCCTCATGGAAACGACGCCCAGGTGGGGCGGGGGGGGGGTGCGGCGCGCGGGCGCGAGAGCCTTCGCGCACCTCGCGGCCCGCGGCGCCAGGCGCGAAGTGAGCTGGCCTAGGCATGCCCAGGCTCGTGGGCCTTCCCGGAGCCCTCTTGGGGGCCGCGTGGGCCCTCCTGGGGCGACCTGGAGGGGGGGGGGCCTCGGAGGCCGTCGTGGGTCGTTAGAAACCCGGGAAACTACGAGAACGCTCAACTATCTCGAAACCTTAGCGGGCGATCCAATCATGCTTGCTGGTTGATGCCCTCTTGGCGATGCCCGTGGAGCCCTAGTGGCCAGCGACAGAGCCGGCGCCAGTGGCGCCGCGTGGCCTGGCGGGCTCGCGCGGGAAGCCGGCGAGGGCCGCAGGCCGTCTGTCGGGTCCGAGTCCGGAGGAACAGTGAGGCGACCGCTGCGATCGCCCGGCTCGGCCCCCCGCTGCCCGCCGTGGGCCAGGAAGCATGCACTGGCACCGAACGCGGGGGGGGGGACGACATTGCCCAAAAGGGCCTTGCCTTCGAGGGTCGAATGCGTTGTCACCTCCTCCCCGGCGGAAGGCGGCGGAAGGTCGGCGGAAGTATAACGAGGCCGCCTCCGCTGGCGGAGACCCTGCGGACGGCCGGCGGACGGCGGCGGAAGGCGGCGGAAGTGAAAGATGCGCCCCCCGAGAGGTGAACACGTTTTTGGGCTCAGTGTTTATCGAACCCACCATATCTAGCACGCCGCCAGCTGCGTGTAGGAGTGAGGGGGCGGGCACGGGTCGAGTCGCGGATGGGTCGCGGGGTGGGTCACGGGTGGGTCGCTAGCGGGTCGCGGGCGAGGACGACGATAACAACAATGCAACACTGCAACAACAACACCACCACCAACAGCACCACCAGCAACAACAACAGCAACAACAACAAGCAAAATCCGCGCCGCGGTGTCCCACTTCAGCCACGCACCCAGGGACAATGAATGCCCGTTCGACCCTCTTTCCTCTGACTTCAAATGGGGATCTCTGGATTACGTCCGCTATTCAAGCGAAGCGAATAAAGAAACAGGAGAGGGAGAGGGAGTAGATGGGGGAAGTCGAGAAGGAGGATAGGGAGGGATGTGTGGGCCAGGAGGGGGAAAAGAGGGACGACGAGGGAAGACGGACGGACTTGGTGAGGGGGGGCTAGTAGCAGAGAAAGACATGTACGTTCGGCTTACCAGTGGAGCTCGCTAGCGCCTGCACATCATTGACCCGAGCGCTCTGGCATTCCTTCGGCAATGGTGACTTAGGGGCTTTGGGCTGATCAGAATGAGGAGGTATTCCTGCAGTGAGCCCTGCTCTGAGCGGGATGATGAAAGCCCCCACCAGATCCAAAGGGGTATGGGGGGGAAATCGCGTGCTGTCGGAAGGAGGCTGGGGAGAGGGGAATTGGGGCAGGGGTGTTGGCCGAATAGCGTCGGCAGTCCTCGACGTGGGTTTGGGAATGGGCGGCGGCGGTGGCGGGACGGGGAAGATGAGATGTAGATCCCAGTCGGTGCTTGCACTGCAGGGGTTGCTCTGTAGGCGGAAGGGTCGTGCCTATTTCTGTGGGCGACCCGGTTCCCAGGTCCCCCAGATGCGGACTCTCCAAGACGACGCTGGAGGGCCCAAGAGAAACCCTAGAGGAGCTAGAATGACGTCATGCGAGAGCCCTCTCGCGACACGTCGGTATGACTCCGCTGAGCGCTGACATTCTTGTCTAACCACTTGGCGTGCCTCCTGTTGATGGCTTCCAGTGCCAGCTTAGTCCTTCCTGGAGCCGTGGTCGGAAAGGTCCCGGGGCAGGGGCGGGATGAACGCGAAGCCAGTCTCTGCTAATTATCCCGGCAAAGCAACCTAACAGCGATGTGTAGA